TGAGACATCTGAACCTCCTTGAAAAATAGCAGCAAGGGGATGGGAAGGTGGCTCAGTGGTAGAGCTCTTGCCTTGCATGGATGAAGCCCTGAGTTTGATTCCTCAGCACCACATAAGCAGAAGGAAAAAAAAGCCGGAAGTGGCACTGTGGCTCAAGTAGTAAAGCGCTAGCCTTGAGCTGAAGAGCTTAGGGTCAGGACCCAGGCCCAGAGTACAGGTCCCACCACTGGACCCCCCCCCCAAAAAAAAGAAAAAGAAAATGTGAAGGGTAAACAAAGGAGGAGGCTGCAATGCTTGGTAAGAAATATATGCATTATCCTGCCCATGCAATTGTAACCCCTCTGTACAGTATGTTCACAAATAAAATAAAATTAAATTTAAAAAAAGGAAAAGAGAAGCAAGATAAACCACAAACACATAGACGGAAAGAAATCATTAAAATTAAATCAGAATTGAATGGATTAGAAACCAAAAAGAACATAGAATCAACAAAACAAAGAGTTGGTTCTTCAAAAAAATTAACAAAATTAACAGACCCTTAGCAAATCTTATCAGAAAAAGAAGAGAACACACTCAAATAAATAAACTCTGAGATGAGAATGGAAACATCACCACGGAAACAACCAAGATTCAGAACATTATAAGGGAATATGTCTCAAAACTTTATGCTAATAAGTTTGAGAACTTGGCAGAAATGGACCTTTTCCTAGCAAATATCGACATGCCAAAACTCAACCAAGATGAGTTAAACCATCTTAACAGGCCCATATCAAGCTTTGAAATATAAACAGCAATAAAGGACCTCCCATCTAAAAGACACTCTGGTCCAGATAGATTTACAGCAGAATTCTACAAGGCCTTCAAAGCCGAGCTCACACCAATATTCCTCCAACTCTTTAATGAAATTGAAAGAGAAAGTTCACTACTGAACTCATTCTATGAAGCCACCATAACCCTCATCCCATAACCAGGCAGGGACTCATCAAAGAAAGAGAACTATAAACCCATTTCTTTGGTGAAAATTGATGCAAAACTTCTCAACAAAATTTTGGCCAATCGACTTCAATAATTCGTCCAAAAAATCATACACTACGATCAAACAGGATTCATTTCAGGGATGCAAAGCTGGTTCAATATACACAAATCAATTAAAATAATTCATCACATCAGCAGGAGCAAGGATAAGAACCACATGGTTATCTCAATAGATGCAGAAAAAGCATTTGACAAGATCCAACACCCCTTTAT